AGGTAACCACTGTTTGTAAGTGTCAGACTTGGACAGGGTCTTGCCGAACTTGTAGCACAGGGTTTCCCGTCTGTCATGCAGAGTTTGTAGGTTCAGGGTTTTGCATGACTGGTCGTAGGGTAGGTTGTGGCCAAGAATGATTTTGGTTGCGCGTTTCTGGATCCTTTCGATCTTGCGTCGTTGCGTTGTCGTGAGACCTGGGTGCCATACAGGAGCCCCATATTCCAATACAGGGCGAATAAAGCATGTGTATACTGTTACAAGGTCATCTGCAGGCACGTTGAATTGTCGGAGACGGCATAACAGGTGAAGTCTTTGGCCCCCTTCTTTAGTTACCTCTGCAACGTGAGTGTCCCATCTCAGGTCTGACTGGAACGTAATGCCAAGACACTTTGCGGATTTTACGACCTCGAGTACGTGACCGTTGATGCTGAGGGGGGGTGGTGGGGAAGGGTTGCGGCGTGTGTGTGTGTGTGTGTGTGTGGGTAACTTCTATCCCCGTAAACAACAATTACAATCAATCAATCAATCAATCTAGTGGTTTATTAATAAAACAAGGAATTTGCAGCCACAGGCTGAATTACATCCTGTTGTACAATTAATTCATTTTAAAATTCATTAGTATACAGTAAAAATCATCATAGTTATTTACAATTATTAGCATTAAAACTTGGTTACACTTTAAGATCTAAAACACTGATTGATTTACAAAATTGCTACAGGAGGGACAACATTACTTTGACGTTCACTTAACAGACATTACATACAGATAACAATTCATGTACTTATAGATGATTATTTAAAAGGGATATCATATATGGGATACTGCTGTTCTTATAGCGTTCGGTTCTAGCCTTGGGATAGTCAAGTAGATTGCTGGAGCGTGTGGTTCGTCCAGTAGTGTTCCCACGTGTGGGTGGTAGCCAACTGCGGAATTCTTTGGAACTAACAAGTTTCTTAGCGAAGTCTAGAGTGAGGTCGTCTCGTCGCTGTTCAAGTGTAGGTATGTCCAGAATCATGCAAGCCTCGCGATACGATGTATAGGCTGGGCCCAGGATTATTCGACACGCCCGTTTCTGTATGAACTCAATTCTGCGTCGCTGTTTGATGGTCAGTCCTGCATGCCAGGCGGGCGCTCCATACTCACAACTTGGGCGCACAAACTCGGTTGGGTTAAGGCAGCCTATGGCCAACTATGATTAGTATTTCATACATATGGCTGTAACTTTTGATAGCTTGGTCGCACCACAACTTAACTTCACACAGTTCTAGTAGTACTTGAAACACATTGAATAAAGGTTATTTGTTTTTACTACTTCTGAATTTTTGGGTTAAAAATCAACATTTTGGTTTAAAAAAAGCTGTTTTCTTCATGTCTTTACGCGCAAGTGGTAACAACACCTTTCATCATGATATTTTACAAGTAGAAGGCCAACCCCCTATTTATTATTTTTGTCCGAGGCTATTTTGTTTTAAATTGACAGTTACATTGTTTTTTGGGTCCAAAAACGAACAGAAACAGCTATTTTTCTTGTCATTTA